GGCCCTCATTACAACAAAAGTATTAATAAAAAAGAAGTAAAAGGGGCACATTGGCATTCAAAGACTGATTAATATGCTTTGTACACTCTCTCCTCTACAACAGCAAGTCACGTGCTCTTATCTTTCAGCCAACGTTTTAGAATTATGCCAAGCCAACTCACTTTTGTACTTGTAAGCCATCGTACCACAAATACGCAACGTGTGTTGGCCAAAATCAAGTTGTTTTATACAATTCCACGCACTGTGTCCTACCTCAAGCCTTGCATTTTGAATCAACAAACCAGAAAAAATGCCTCATACAGGACTTGCAAAAGACAAAGTAACACAGATTTTCAAAAAAAAAGTACACATGATTCACAACCTGAAAACACAATACCTGCACAAAGATAATCCACGAGATTCAAAATATGTTCCCGCTGCTACGAATTAACACACCCTAAACAATTTGAATTTAAGCCACAAAAACCAACTCCACTACACTCTTCCAGGCTGCATCATGCCACAACAAACCATCACAATTCAATACACCATCCTGCAGCCACAAAATCACGCGAGCCAACGGAAATTTGAAAGCGACAAAAAAATCACAAAATAGAAAACACAGAAAAAAACCGCACACGCAGTAATGCACACCATTCGAATCTCCAGCTCATCATTTTCCTCTCTCCTCCGTTCCCACAAATGCCCTCCGTATTTCCTATAAATTCACCCTGTGAAACTTCTCATGGGGCGAAAAAAAATACTTTTCCTAATCTCCTTCTATCCAGCTTGAACCTTCTCCTTTCAATCCCTCCCTCAACCACAAAACCTTTCACCCCAAATCATTTCAAGTGAATGCCCACAATCCCAAATCTTTTTCTTTAACCTCAAAACCTTCGACAACATCAACCCGTCATTAAACCTGAAACCAGAAGAAAGGGGAAGCAGAGAGTGGGACGATTTAAAAACACAAACCCAAAATAGAAGAAGCAGAAAGATTGAGTGAAACCAAACTAAAAAGCATACGTACCGTGGTTGCAAGTGGAAATGATCAAGACGAAGGCGAAACCGGTTCAAACGAAGAAGGTTGGGAACAAGATCTTTCTTTCTCAATCCGTTGGTTGTATCATGCAATAATGAGAGATCCTCTGAGCAATTTGATGATGATGTTGTGGTTCTGATTTCCAACCATGGTTGTTGATTCAAGCGTTTTACACTGCAACCTTTTATTTTTTATTTTGCTTTTTCTTCTTTTAAAAATATATTTAGAAATTGAGATTTGTTGACTGTTCCATTGATTTGAGCTAAAGTATTTTTGGTCTTGAGGAAAACTCTTCGTTTGCTGGGGATAAACTGAGGGATGAGTGTATGCCCAGCCCATGCTGGTTTTCTAAACCTCACCCCTTCTTTGTTTTTATTACACCGTTTTTTTGGAGTTGTGAGATGATGGACTTTTATCAAAGCCCAAATGATTCCTCTGCTACATACACAAGATTTTACCCTATACCCCTGCATTTATACCCATACCCCTACAATTTAAAAAAATATATTCATTTTATCCTTATATATTTTTATTTTTTTTTTCACTTTTTACCGTATCGAAATTTTGAGACTTCTGAGACCTACCGGAACACTTTCAAAATGACTTCCGGTACGTTTTTTTTCTCAAACCGAAGGCCTTTGGCAAAGACTTCCGGTTCACACAAATTATGTACCGGAAGACTTTATGAAAGACTTCCGGTTTGAGAATTTTCGTGGGTGTTCACCGGAAGACTTGTAAAAAGAGTTCTGGTACTTGTAAAAAGCGTACCGGAACACTTTTTACCAGTCTTCCAGTTTTTATTTTTTGACTACCGGAACTCTTCCTTTGAGTTTTCCGGTTTGCATTGTCCAAAATTTTTATTTTATTTTTATTTTTTTAATTATTTTTGAATTTTTTTTAAATTCTTTTTGAATTTTTTTTAAAATTTTTTTTTAAAAAAATTTTAAATTCTTTTCTTGAATTTCAGAAATCCCTTTACAAATATGCGATAAAGATCAGATATGCGTAGACACGTCTGATGTTTTTTCAATTACTCAAAGATTTGGTACACGAGAATAGGTAATAAGATGGATTAAAGAGATCGGAATCCGAAATAAAGTTACGGTTATCATCACTCGTTCAGATATTGAAACAGGCAAGAGAGGAAGAGATAACAAATTAATATTTGGATGTGATAAAGATGGAAAACACAAAGATATTGACAGTGGAACTTAGAGTGCGACGAAAAAATGTGAATGTCCATTTAGAATCAGGTCAATTCCAGCGACTGATGGATCTGGATGGAAGATTGATGTAAAATGTGGAGTTCATAACCATGGTTTACCTGATAGATTAGAAGTTCACGCATTTGTTGGTAGGTTGACAGCGAATCAGAAGCAACATGTTGTTGATTTGACAAAGAGAAAGGTTCCACCTAGACATATATTGCTTTCATTGCAAGAGCAAGATTCGGATAATGTCACTCGGATCACGCAAATATACAAGCAGAAGAGTCTGATAGAAAAAATATAAGAGGTCCTAGAAGTGAGATACAACATTTGTTTAAGCTTATTGAGGAATCAGGTTATGTTTATTGGAGTAGAAAAAGAGATGACTCTGAAGTTATTAGAGATACCTTTTGGGCTCATCCAGATTCAGTTAAGTTGTTGAATATTTTTCCTATTGTGCTAGTTATGGACAGCACCTACAAGACAAACAAATATAGGCAACCTCTATTTGAAATTGTTGGCATAACATCAACCGAGTTGACTTTTGTTGTCGCATTTGCCTATATTGAGTCTGAGCAAACTGAGACTTTTTGTTGGGTGCTAGATAAGCTTAAACAATTGTTTGTGAAGAAAGAGTTGTGTCCACAAGTGATTTTGACAGATAGAAATCTTGCTTTGATGAAAGCCATTGAAATTGTGTTTCCAAGGTCGATCAATATGCTATGTCGTTTTCATATTAACAAGAATGTTGGTGCAAAACGGAAACAATATGTGGCTAGTGACATGCAAAAGAAAATTGATGAATTATGGACGGATGTTGTATGGGCTAGTGATGAGGTTGAGTATGATCAAAGGTTGAACCAACTTGAGCAGGCGTGTATTGATTGTAATGAATTTATTGATTATGTGAAGGACACATGGTTGACACCATATAGACAAAGATTTGTTGGAGCATGGATTAATCGAGTGCTACATTTGGGTAACACCACGACTAATCGATATGTATTTATTTTTAGTATTTCTAAATTGTATATTTCTTTTAAATTTTTTTAAAATATTTTTAATATGTATTAATTTTAGGGTTGAGTCTGCTCATTAGAAGTTAAAGCAAATGTTGGGGAACAGTATTGGTGACATGGTCAAATGTTGGGAGGCTATGAATGACAACTTAAAGTTACAATTGAGTAATATTAGAGCTTCTTTTCAAAAGAGTTTTTATGAAGTTGAGCACGCCCACGTAAGTCCATTTTACAATAATTTATGTGGTTCAGTGTCTCGAGATGCATTGAGACGCATTGTTGAAGAGTTAAAACGAGTTGATTATGTTGGAACTAACAAGGAAATATGTCGTTGTACTCTTAGAACAACCTACGGATTACCTTGTGCTTGTGATTTGACAGGATATAGAATTGATGGTATACCGATGCCAATAGATGATGTGCATGTTCATTGGAGAAAACTAAGTATGGAAGTTAAGTTGGACGAAGACGTAGATGATGGATCAGAGGTGGATATGAGTAGTGCAATAGATGAGTTGTGGAAAAGGTTTAAGTCACTGGATGTTGTTGGGAAAAGGGCATTAAAAAGTAGGGTTTTTGAACTTGTCTTCCTCACAATGACTTCTATGTGTCCACCACCTAAGAAAATAAAAACTAAAGGGGGAGTCAAGAAGAAAGACAAAAAAACCAGTAGGATATGAAGTTTATAGAGACCCTTCGTATCACGAGTATGTTGATCAAGCATCTCAATCTTCACAGATGCAATCTCAACCATCACAAACTTCGAAGAAGTTGAAATTATCACAGTCTTCACAAAAGAAATCTCAACCATCACAAGCTTCGAAGAAGTTGAAATTATCACAAGCTTCTAAGAAGTTGAAATTATCACAATCTTCACAGTCATCTAAGCAGTTCATCCTTCAGTTTCCTAATCATATTCGGTCATATATTAATGATGTAGTTAATGTTGTATCAGATGGTAATTATGGATTTAGAGTCATTGCTTCATTGCATGGATATGGTGAAGATGGTTGGCCAATGGTTCGTTGAGACTTGGGGTTGGAAATAATACATAATGAAAGATCAAGTTTGTATGCCAATTTATTTACTGATCAGTTAGCAGTGGTGAGAGAATCTTTGATGATAGCTACATTTGGTCCTCAACCACCACATAAATGGTTAAATCTACCAGATATGGGTTACGTGATAGTGAATTGTTATAATGTTGTACTTGTCTGTTTAGGAATTGAATGCTGAACTTTCTTCCCTATGACAACTTCATTTTCACCTAATGTAGCAATTTACTGCATTGGTTTTGTAAACAGAAATCATTGGGTTCAGGTACTTAGTTGTTTTTAGATAATGCGATTAACCCTGAGTCTTTTTCGTTATTTTTACTTAATATTTTGATTATTTTTTATTTAGGTAAACATGAAAGAAGGGTTTCCATTGCCACCAGTGACAGTAGATTGGAAGAAGTTTCGTTCTCCAACAGAAACATCTTGGATGCTAGGATTTGCAGGACGTCTACAGCATTGGTAACAACTTATGCCTATATTACCGACACATTATAAAATATAAATTATGTTATTCATTTTTAATTTCAAAACATGATTCGTGAATTATGTTATTCATTTTTTATTTCAGGCTACAAGTTAACAAATAATTATAAACCAGTTACGTCAAATGAGTCAAAAAATTAACACATAAATATAAAACAATTAGTTCAAATGAGACTAAAAGTTAATATATAAGCATAAATATAAATATAAGTCATTGTGATCGAGAAATATACAAAGCTTCGAACAAATCTGCAAACTGTGGGTCATCATCTTCAGCACCAGCCTGCTGAAGATAACGATGAATCAACGAAGACACACGAGCCCAGCTAGGATCAGATGGTCCTGCTTCATATACAGGAACTGGCATCTCTGGTGGCGCATCATGATAGGGTAGCGGTACCAGTCGAGGATGCGAAACACGATAATACCACTCAAGATATCCATCATCTGTCTCATATGGGGTGGTGGCCGGTGCTGTCGGGCGAATCACATTCTGAACGCTCTGATGGTAACTAATCCAGTCAACATCAATATCACCAGCCATCGTATGATCAAGAGGCAGATGTGGAATATACTTCCTGTATCAAACTGACGCATACATCTGCCAGGCAAGTATGGAACAATAGTGTCACCCCACCTCAGACACCCCCTATATAGACACAACTCATCAAACTGACGCCATACTCTATGATTCTCGAAAGGGCGCCATATGACATCAGCAGGTGTCAGCTCGTCCAAAATAGGTCGCAACTCATCCACCTTCAAGGCACCTTTCCTATAGGGCCATCTCATCGCTCGAAGGAGACCCACATTATTAGTTGGTATCTAGTTCTCTCCTTTTTTTCCAAGTGTTGGAAAATACTCATGAATCCAGCACTGTTACAAAATTAATATGATTACTAAATTTAAAATAATTAATTATAACATAATAAACTAGATAAATAAAATTAATATACTAGATAAAATTTATTAAAATAAAATATACTAAATTAAAATAAATACCTGTAGGAGAGTCGGATAACCACCTAGCTGCTTACAGCTGAACATGGAAGCATCTCTGAGATATCTATAAAGAGTAACCAACGCAGCTGCTCCCCAACTGTATCCTGATAAGTCATCCAAGTCTATAAACAGTGAGAGGTATCGTGCCTCGACAAGCGTAAACATCTTGTCTGCAAAAATAGTGGAACCCACTAACATCAGCAAATAAGCTCTAGTGGCATAATCCCATCTAGACGCAGCTCTATGCTCTACGAATCAATCATATAACCACTCCAGCTTATAGTAGGAACCCCTGCATTCACGGACTTGTTGTTGTGCTACTCTCCTTGACACTCATAAATAATCAGCAGCCCACTCAACAACAAGTGCTTCACTGATATCTTGAGGGCTCCAGAAGACTCCCTTGATGGGCAAGTGAAGCAGACAAGATACATCATCTAGAGTAAACTTGTTCTCTGGAGTGAAGCTAGACCAGACCTAGATATCCAGCCCTCCATCTCTCTGGGTAGCTGTAGCGGAACCCTCTGAATCAACTTCAAACCATGTCCCGCTACCTTTAACTCTTTCTTCGACCCTTTCTCCTGAAAACAATTAAAAGTAAATATATTATAGAATTCAATATTAAAAATTGGAATGCTATTCAATATTAAATATTTTTCGTTTACTTACCTCACCGAACCATATACGTCTAGCAACATAATTTTCACACTTAACTAACAGAGATGTATCATACGGTCCTCCTGGATATCCAACAGGCTCGGATGCTAATGCAGATGCATCAAAATGCTCTTCTTTAGCCATTCTCGTTGACTCGCCCCGTCCTAGTCCACGAGGGATCCTACCACCTCTGCCTCGTGTACGCACCACTGAAAAATAAAAATAAAAATTAAAAAATAAATATATAAATAAAATTAAAAATTAAAATAAATAAATAAATAAATAAAATTAAAAATAAAAAAAAATTGAACCGGAAGTCTTGAGCAAAGACTTCCGGTGAACAAACGTAAAATGCAGTGTTCCAGAAGACTTAAGCCATGACATTCGGTTAACAAAATCAAAATATTGTATACCGGAAGACATGCATTAAGTCTTCTGGTGAAAAAACCAAAACAAATTACAAATCGGAAGACATGCATTAAGTCTTCCGGTGAAGAAAACAAAACAAACTACAAACCGAAAGACTTACTCCTTGAGTTTCGGTATGTGCTGGTGAAAAAATGTGTTCCGGATGACTTTTGGGAAGGGTTCTGGTTTGAGAGTGAAAAAGGGGTCCTCCGGAAGAGTTAAAATGGAAATGAAGTGAAAGTGAAAAAAATTTAAAATTTGTAATATTTAAATAAGGGTATTTTGGTCCAATAATTTTTTAGTGTAGGGGTGGGGGTATAAGTGTAGGGGTATGGGGTAAAATTTCCCCCTATGGGTCCACACGCCCCATTCCCCATTTGTTTGTTTTTAAAGTTTATTTTGTTAGATTTTTAATTTTAATCTTTTTTAAGATTTTCTTTAAATCACTTTGTTATTTATTTTGTTAAGTATTTTACTAAATATTTTGTTAAATATTATTTGATTTTCTTAATTATATCTTGATTATATTTTGGTCATCGCTTTGTATTTTCCTTGAATTTCATTTTCATTTCAATTTTATTTCAATATGGGTCAACGAAGAAACTAAAAAGTCATTATTGATAAATGGTTATTAATACGAGACCATCACTTTTTTCTCTTTTCATTTTCTTCTCTATCTTTTTCATCTCGATTTCATTTCATTTTTCGATCGATGAAGTCTTTAGATTCGTAAGCGTTGATTTATCAAAGTTGATAACCTTCATTATGTAAAATCTGTGGAAAATGACCATTGGGGTCATTTTATATACTTTGGGATTGTGATAGGCTACCTTTAATTAATCGACACGAGTTTATGATTAAGACGAGATTTCCCCTTTCTTTTGGTTTGTGCGACACGATTACATTGGAGAATTATCCTCAATATCATTTCTCTATCTTATTTTTAGCACGAATATCAACTCACGCGACCTCTTATAGTTTGATTTTCGTCATAAATCGAGCTCCGACGGTTTAGCGCTACATTTCGTCCCGATTCAATTCACCAGTCAACTAATGACTAACTTTATTTTTCATCATATTCTTGTTTTACTTTTCAGTCAATATACATTTGTTTTATTTTCAGTCAATATTATCTCGACTGTATTATCTTGTTCATATAATTGATTATATTATCTTGGTTATATTGTTATATATCTTGCTATATTATTCATTTTTTTTTCATATTCATATTGACCATATTCATATTCATCTTGTTCATCTCTTATTCACACATATCCGAAAACACTTAACAATTATCGAAACAATAAAAGCCTAAATTGGTGGACTGTTGGATCATTGGACTTTGTCAAAAACCCTAACTTGGAGTTTTTGTCTGACTTTTTCTCAAGGCTTAGTTTAGGACACTTCGCACACACACAGCTTCCTCTTGGGCTACCTGACAATGAACCCTTTTACTTTGTGCAATCCCGTGTAACTTACATGTATCCCTCTCCCATTCCGATGTACGCGTTCGTATATTCTTTGATCGTGGTTTATCTTTTAGGAGCACCCTTAGGGACTAGGATAGACTAAACCTTTTTCAAACTAATTTTCAATTCGTCATTGAGCCATTTTCAAACACCCCTCGTAAGTCGAGTGCTCGTCCGCATTCGCCATCAATCTATCGCACACACTTTCACATTTCATCGTGGTTTCATTATTAGGAGGACCCTCAGGGACTAGTATCGTTTCTCACAACCTAACCTTTCATTCGTCATCAAGCCGGTTCCATTTTCAACCAAACCCTTGACTCGTCGTCGAGCCATTTTCAAACCAACTTCCATTCCACCATGGTTTTGCACGCAAATATAAGTCAAACCTTTGATCCAACGTCAAGTGGATTTTCTCAATCAAACTATCAATACAATTGATAACTATCGAAATTATTTTCAAGGTGAAAAGAGGAAGATTTAGCCTTTGATCTCTCTTCAGTTGTTTGGATGCGAGTTATCTTACTCGTGTGTGAGCAATTGATGCCTCTAAAACATTTTCAACTCAACAACGTCTAGCATCTTATCCCTTTTATCGTATCGTTTCACATTTATTATTGAGAAGAAAACAAATAAGCATAGCTAACGTTCATCACAATTCGAATTAAGAGGTTCCTGTTGAGTACAACGAATGTGAGGGGTGCTAGTATCTTCCCCTCATGTAACCGACTCCCGAACCCGGAACATCGGTTGTGACGACCTTGTTCCTGTCCTTTTATTTTTAAAGATTTTCTCGATATTTTCCTTTCTCTTCTCTTTGGGATAAATAAAGTTTGGTGGCGACTCTATCGAACCGTATTTCGTGCCTTTAGCGCGATGGTCGTATGTTCGAATTATTTTTCGAGGTGCGACACCAGTATAGTCCAGCTTCCCAACACTCTTTATTTCACCTTTGGATCCATCTCCAAAAGTGACATAGCTAGTGCAATGTGATTCAATATCCACCAAACATTTCTTGACACTAGTCATGTGTCTAGAATAGACACTAACAAAATACCACCCCTCTCTAGCAGAAGCTCTTAGACAGGTATGAGCTATGAGAGCAGCAATGTTATTCTTGGGAATCCACTTCTTTTTTGCTTTACCAACAAACTGCATCTTTATGAGTTGTGAAGAAGATTTGAGATAGCCATGTAACTTGTAGCAGTAAAGTTTTATGTGACCAAACTCACCATAATGATGAAATTTCCAATCTTTCTTCTTGCTTCTTGAGGAATTCTTCTGATGTCTCTATTGATGTTGAGACATCTTTCTTGACATCTTTCCATTCTTCTTTCTTTTAGGATGAGTAGAATTAAATGTTGGCTCTTTTCTTTTATTCATTACCACTTGATCATTATAACTGAGCCCTTTTATATCTTCAGCATTCCTCCCAAAACTGAAGAATCTCATCCAACATATCAGAACTACTATTGAGCATTCTTACAGATTTAGTCATATTGTCAAGTTTAGAGTTGAGCAATACAACTTCCTCCTCTAGGTCAGAGATGATAGCCAAGTGCTTCAATCTTTCATCATGAAGTTGAACAATAATATTATGTTGATCCTTTCCTAGTTGACATACTTCTACACTTCTGATGCATAGCTCCTTGTACGAGGTAGCCAATTCATCATAAGTGAGTTCTTCACCGTCTGATTCTTTATTATAGTCATATACTCCAGTAAGCGTAGAAACCTGTTGACTGAATTCTCCTTCACTTAAAGAATCGTCTTCAGACCATGATATAGACAAGTCTTTCTTCTCCTTCTTGAGAAAGATAGGACACTCAAATTTGATGTGTCTAAATCCTTTGCATTCATAGCATTTGATTCCTTTTCCTTAGTTAGCTACGGCACGACTCTGAAGATGGCGTTTGTGGGTCGGCCGTCGTCAGAGGAAGGTATCGGAGGAGCACCGGCACTGAGTGGTTTAGCAATTACACAAGAGTATGTTTCGTTTTGAGAAGAA